GAATGGATTTATCTGAAGAGCGGAAGACTTGAAGCTGATACTACTCTCCACTCCTAGAAGACGGAAAATATTTGTGTGAGTAGCAAAGACAGAAAGCGTGGTGTGTTTCTGCTGCTGAGTCTGGCTGGTCTCAGGAGTCTCAGCTCCTGAAAGCCAGCCCCCGCACATGGTCCCATCACCATCAACAGCTCTGGGCCTGCCAAGCAGTACCAGGCAATGATGACAGACGTTTTATGCAGATGTGGTTTTGTCACTGCATTGTAACAGTGCTGTAGGAGATGCAGACTTGGCTCACACACCTAGACTCTTCTTAAGCACAAGGTTATAAATAACATCAGAGAGCAAGGAAGAAGGGGAAGGAGGCAGGGGAAGGAGACCAAGGCAAGTATTACATTTTACCCTGTGATGATGACATGGGAGCAGGTTTCTGGTCTGACCTGTCAGGTCATCTCCCAGGACAGCCAGAACTCTGATATAGAAACCCACCCCATCATCTATACCCATCATACTGGCACCAAACCACAGATCCCCACAGGACTGACCAGCAAATTGCTCACCCCCTTAAAATTTTGCCTGTTGGGTCTACCTCTCAACAAGCCATCTCAACTCTTGGATTTTCAAGCCATTGCTCCTTTGGCTTACCAAACTCAGACACGAACAGTTCTTGAGTTGTTTCAACCTTTTAGGTTTCAACCTTTGCATTCTTTATATATTTAATTCCTGTGCATCTACCCAGGTTCACATCACTGCTGTGCCTCCCAGCCCATGCTAATGCAGGGGTCTCTGCGGCATGCTCCCTCCAGCATCCCACGAGAGCTGCTACGCAACAGGATCCCTGTCTGAGCTGCCAGAACAGGCACAGCCAAGGGGAGGACTGAGCAAGGGCAGAGGCAAAGGAGGTTAGTGAGAGGCAAGCAGAAGAGGAAAGGAATAGGAAAGACCATGAGACTCAGATACCAACCTGTGACCATAGGTTGCTTAGCCCAGCAGGTTAAGAGAAGGCACCGCGGGACTGCTACTACACCTATAGCTGTGTCTTCTCCTTCTCATAAAACAACCGAGTCCCTGAGGGCTGCTCTAAACTGCATTGCAGAGCCAGAGGTGCCCAGCTGGGCATCCAGGGACTGGGTCTGTTGCTGCAAGGGGAACAAAAACAAGCAAAGGCTGGTCCTCAGCTGTGAACTGTGCTTGCCTTTGGTGGCAATATGACTGTGCTGTTTACAAGAAGCATAAACTCATTTGCCGTGTTCTTAGATTGCTGGGAATGAAAGCCAACCACCTACCTCATCACAAAAGCCAGCACTTAAAAAATAACCAGACTCATATTTACAACCAATTGCACTCTAAGAATGATGCCATTAGAAGGAAATAACCCTTGTTGCTCATTTTATTTAGAAACAATCCCCACATACTAGTGCATGCCTTACTGAGAGGTGTGTGGTTTGCTGTTGATAGCACTGGCTGCAAAACCTCATGGGTGAGACTTCCTTAATTAGCTACCTTTGCATTTTCTTAATTAGCTACTTCATAATTCATCCAGTTAAGACAACTCTTAAGCTAAGCTGAAGGATGTTTAAGAGCATCAGCACAGGACCTTACATGCATTTAGCCGCCACGAAGCGAATGCCCAAATAATTATGTCTGGAGAGAAATGTAGGCTAGTTTTCTCCCCACAAAACAAGTGAGAACAACCCCATGAGCTAGGTTTATCGAGAGAGAGAGAAATAGGTCAGGAGTAGGAACCAGGGTGCACAGCATGCGATTTCCTGGTTAGCGGTTACTGTAAGAGGAGGGCTGGTGTTACACAAGAGCGCACAGAAGACGCCTGCATGGGTTTGCTCTCCACCACAAAAAGAGCTTGGTGGTCATAATGAAACAGCTGCTGCCACAAATGAGTACAAACGCTTGTAACTGAATGAGACGGTTTCCCCACCTGGCTACCCGTGGCTTGTTGAACTGGCTCCCAGTGACCTGCAGGGCAGGGAATATACCCAACTCGACAAACAAGCACCAAAGGAGTCATTTAGACCCAACGACTCATCTCACCTACTCAGGGGAGGAAACCCAGGGTCTACCTGCACCAAGTGTACCTAATTTAAAGTCGCTTCTGTGCAGCCAAAATGAAATACAAGAATGCATGCATACAGGTTTACCATGGTTTAAATGCAGGTGAACAAGGAAATACAGGCCTAAAACTTCCACCAGCAGAAACCAAAGTCAGAGGTCTGAGAATTGGCTCAGCTCTGGATGAAATATGTGTAGTGTCAAAAAAAAACCCAACAGTGCAGCAATCTGATAAAATAATAAATAATGAGTCTTGTTAGGCTGTGCTCCTTTGGTACCTAAGGGAGAGAAAGGGCAACTCCTCCTTTCCCGAGTTAGGACACCTCAGCTCAGCAGGTAACCCTGTCCTGGAGGTGTTTATCCCTTGTTCGCTTGATGCGGAGAAATTCTCATCCACCACATAAGAGCCCAACACATAATATTTGGCTGGTTAAAAAGCGGTGAGATGAAGACATCTTTGCACATTTCCCCACATTCCTGCCTAGCCAACCATCCAGCTGGTGGAGAAGAAGGTTGCTTATAAGGATGACAACTTGTCTGCAAGAGGTTAGGACAGGCCTTTCCCAGCTCACATGAACCAGGCTAGACTACCATCCCAAATTTCAGCTGCAGCCTTGCAATGTGATGTCTCCCACGTCTTTTCCCACCATCCCTAGCGATCATCTCCAAGGTCTAGAGAACCTGGCGCCACTGCCAACTCCTCCAGCGCTGCCTGTATAACCTCACTTCACCACTTTCAGCCTTTTTTCTTTGCATCTTTTCATCTATTCAGGCTGCAGGTCCTCTTGCGTTCCCTCTAACTTACGTCACTGCGCCAGGAAAAAGCCTGATCTTTGCTGAAATCTCTCAGTGCTACTGCAGCACAAACCCATTCTCTGTGTCTGCTTTCATTTTGAGCTACCATAAAACAACATCGTTTTAAATAAAATACAAATTTTATTCAGTAGATAAGTTATTGAATAAATACAGGTAAATATTTATCATTTCTTGGATTCTCTGAGCACATATAAATCCATAAATATAGTCATAAATAGAATATATAAATAAAAATATAACCACTCATTAGTTCTTTGCTGTTTTAACGCTCAATGCAAGTGGGTTCAATTTTCTCCCAAATTGCTCTGGAATAAGTGAGCCACTATTCCCCATGGAGTAGTAGTGACACAAAACCTGAGTGCAAAGAGAATCGGGCCTGGTGGCACTCATGTTAGATTTACACTAGCCAGCAGTGATGACCAGGGAATGAAAAGGGGCTAGGCGATGAAGAAGGGAGGGAGGAGGTGCAGGAGGAGGAATTTTTTCTGCCAGTGCTAGTTGGCATGTATACATTAGGGCAATGTATCGCCAAGGACAACTTCTGAAGCTATAATTCACCAAACTGATACAAGCCGCAATGCAAAAAAAAAAAAAAAAAAAAGGCACTGCTTTACTCCCTCTCTTCTTGGAGTCACTAACAAAACTTTTCCTCCAACCTCCTCTCTCCCCTCCATCACCAGCTACTGGTGATTCCCATTCTAAAATCCATAAATGAACAACAGCAAGAATCAGGACTTTCAGGAGGTAATTTGCTCAGATTTGGAAAGGAAATATCATGTTGAATTCCTGAAATGCAAGGTGGGTGACTGTGGGATTTCTCCAACGGGATGTTGGTAGGGGTCAGTCATTTCTTCTTCCCAATGTTGTCTCTCCTACTAATCCCTCCTAAGACTGGTGGTAGACAACTGGAACGGCACACGTGCAGCCCACAGTGATGACTTGCTTCTCCAGTCGGTAGGTTGTCAGGCAGCCCCGCTTCTCCCGTCGGAGGACGAGGATCTCCTGTTGGATGGGGATGGAGTTGAGGCTGTGGTCCTCCTGCCCCAGGGGGTCCACGCAGCCGGAGAAGCGGCACTCGGCATTAGCGATCAACTGGGGGAAGCGGTTGGGGTCCTCGTCGAGCCTGGGGATGAGGACATAAAAGGGTTTTATGCACATGCACGATGTGGTTTGGCAGGATCTTCTTATTGATCTCCATGGAAGCACCAAACTATTTACCTGTGTATCCTTACTATGAGACACGGCCAAAGAATTTCCCTATCCTCAATGTTTTTTGAATTATTTCCTAGAAATGGAATCAATTTTGGGAGGGTAATACTGCCATATCATTGTTTAGGAGTTGATCAATGGAATGGAGCTGGGTGAAATACAGAACTGAGCGCAAGTGAACTATTCATTTTTGTTTGGTTTTCTTCTAATTTCAGCATTCAAAAATTGCTTTCAGTTAGGAAAATGTAAAATTATAATGTACTGACATTTTTCTTTTGCTAGAGGAATAATTATTTGACGAAGATTGACTAGACGATTAGAAATCATTCCAATGATTTCTGCTTGCATTGCAAACAGTTTCTCTTGGAGAAATCTTACCTAACATCAAAATGAAAGTGTGTGTCAAGAAGTATTTGCAATATTCACAGGACTCCAGGCATATGCTGAGAACCAGCCATTGTTCATCACCAAAAACATCTGTGTAGCACAGCTACTGCAATTTAGATAACAACTAAACAGTTACCTGTAATCCCAAGGGGCAAGAGACCGGTTCCTGACATCATGGACCATCGTAAAGGCATGATCTGAATTGCTGATACGAACATCAACTTTCACCGTTGTAGGGAATTTGAGATCCTTTTGGTTCAGGCAAGCTTCACGAAGCCTCACAGAGACACCATCCTTGCTGAGTCGAGGATGAACTACCCTCCCATGCGGTGAGGTCCTTACGGTGAGTGCTAGAACCAGCACCAAAAGAAGTGATCTGAACTGGGAGAGAGAAAGGTGCCGTTGGCTCAGTTCAGTCAAGAAAGAGAAAGAGGACAGAGAGCCAAGTCTTGACTAGATTGGACCATCAAAGCGTAAGCTTAGAAACCTAGTAAGTCACATGCTTTCTCAGAACAGGAAAGGTTGGCCACACAGCAGCCATCTCCTGGAAATAACCCTTTTCTCAATGAAATCTGAGATTCTTGGGCCATTTTTAGGAGCTACGGTTTTAGGAAAAGAAGGCAGATAAATGCAAAGCTGTTAAGAAAATCAGAAGAGTTGACAGTGCTGCAAATACTACCAAGGTTGAAATTTAAATACACAGACATTTGCAATGACATTTCAGCAGTTTTCATGGCATGTAGTCTGAGAAAAGGACTGTCTCTCCTGATCCCACATCAGCAGTGCTGCCCTTACAGATAAATAATGGATAGTCTATTGCCTCCTTGTCACTCAATCATCAAACCCACTTGCAAAAGCTCAGGACAGAAAGCTGTATCAGATAGAGTTAGCATTCCATTCAGTTCCCACTAAGACTAGCAACGGCTCCTCGTGGATAACAGCATCATTATCGGAAGGCCACGAAGATGGCTGGAACACCTCTCCTATGAAGACAGGCTGAGAGAGTTGGGCTGGTTCAGCCTGGAGAAGAGAAGGCTGCGGGGAGACCTTGGAGCCCCTTCCAGTCCCTGCAGGGGCTCCAGGAAAGCTGGAGAGGGGCTGGTGCCAAGGGCAGGGAGGGACAGGCCAAGGGGAATGGCCTGAAGCTGCAGGAGGGGAGATGGAGATGGGATGGGAGGCAGCAATCCTTCCCTGTGAGGGTGCTGAGGCCCTGGCACAGGGTGCCCAGAGAAGCTGTGGCTGCCCCTGGCTCCCTGGCAGTGTTCAAGGCCAGGCTGGATGGGGCTTTGGGCAACCTGGTCTAGTGGAGGGTGTCCCTGCCCATGGCAGGGGGTAGAACTGGATGGGCTTTGAGGTCCCTTCCAACCCAAACCATTCTATGATTCTATAAACCTATGATTCTCTGATCTGCATTCTGCTTTTTCTCTTGCAGCAAATATATCTTAACGCTTATACCAAATATAAGTACTTACCACTGCAGCATAGCTGGAAAAAGCCATGGCAAACTCTCAGGTGCTTTAGGCAGGCACACACGGTGACAGAGCACAAAAGTTCTCCTTCTCTGAGAACTCTTCCACTCTGTGTGTGTCTCAAAGCCAGTTGTGGTCTGTCTCCTTTTTATTGTGAAGTTCAACCACCACCATCCTTTCCATTGCAGCGTATGGCTGGTTTACCTGACCTGAGATTAGTAGCTGAGAGTTCATTTTCTAGCCCACTTCCTTCCATCTGCCCCCAGAGAGGGGAGAGCAGATATACTATGTCATCAGAATCCCAAATCAGCCAATACAGTTTATTCAGGCAGATAAAGAGATAATGGATGACAAGGAGAGAAAAAAGTTGTGCAGACAGCTTTTATTTTCCCCTGCGTCCGCCCTCTCTAATACTAATTTCTTCTCACCAAAAACATATCTGTGGATGCACTTCCACATGCCTCACTCAAACCAAATGGCAGAGATCAGCAAGCTGCAAAGTCAAGCACCCAAAAACAGTTTCAAAATGAGGACAGGACTTCACAGTTTAACCTCCCTTTGCTTCAGTTGCACCCCTACCTCATCTCAGGGATCCCTGTGTCCTGCAGTGGCCATGTAGGGGAAGAGTAGATGCCCAGGGGAAGTCATAGAATCATGTCAAAGAATCATAGAATCACAGACTGGTTTGGATTGGAAGGGACCTTCAAGATCATCTAGTTCCAACCCCCCTGCCATGGACAGGGACACCCTCCACTAGACCACGTTGCCCAAAGCTCCATCCAGCCTGGCCTTGAACACTGCCAGGGATCGGCCATCTACAACTTCTCTGGGCAACCTGTTCCAGTGCCTCACCACGTTCCTAATCTCTAACCTAATTTCTTCCGAATATCTAATCTGAATCTCCCCTCTTTCAGTTAAGGCCATTCTCCTTGTCCTGTCACTCCCTGCCCTTGTCAACAGCCCCTCTCCAGCTTTCCTTTAGGCACCTTTAGGTACTGGAAGGCTGCTATAAGGTCTTTCCGGAGTCTTTTCTTCTCCAAGCTGAACAAGCCCAACTCTCTCAGCCTGTCTTCATAGGAGAGGTTTTCCAGCCCTCGGACCATTAAGTCTTCCTGGAGGACCTCAGTGAACTAGGAGCTGGGATGCCTTACCCACTCATTGTTCAGATCCTGTGTTGACATATTCTGGAGAACTCTTTGAAACTCGTGCATGCTCTGTAAGGGCCCTGAGGGCACTAACTGGCCTTACTGGCCTTGACCAGCATCACCATGGGTTTTCCTTCACAGCCCATCACCAGGAGACCCATTTTAGTTCCGCTTTGGGCCCCCAGCCCCTGCCTAAGCTACGCCATAGAAGTGCTGGTTTCCTGCCCCTTCTCTGGCCTTGTGTACTGGATGGACCTTGAAGTAATATTTCTCCTGGATGGACTCCTTGGACATAGGTGTCAGACCATCTCCATGGCCATACTGTACTGCATTTTGCCTAGGTCTCCTCTGAGTGCCAGGGGGGCTGGAGAAAAAATGAATTATTTTTAAACAGTTTGTTTCTCAGTTTCAAGTGCCTGAAAGGGCTGTATCTCCACCACCACCACCACAGTGGCTGTAGATGGTGATGGCACAACAACATGTTATATTTTGGGGTGAGGTGTGGGGGCACCTGGAAGCGTAGGAGCATTGGAGCAAACTCACATGGAGTCAGTATCCTGGCAAGCAACTGGGAGTGTCTTTTCATGATCCCGTGCAAATCCCTCCGAAGTTGATTAAACCACAAACGTTTATAAAGCTTCAGCATGTACAATGTAAGGGCTTGGAAGAATTTAGCAGCTAAAGTCTGGATAGGATTAATTGCTCCTTAAGATTTTACCAATGTGCTTTTTTCCTCTACTGTGTCAGTGTATGACACCTGTTCAGTAAAATAGACATTTAAGCCATTAGAGTGATGAGAAGGTAATCCTGTCCTTGTTCAGCGTTGCTAAATGCAGTAGGCCTAAATTTAAACCCAGTGGAGGTGAGCCTGCTACAGCTCTACGCTCCCACGTCCCTCCAGCAGCGAAGCTGAGCGTGGATTCCCAATAGGCGCTTACACACACGTATGCAACATGTGTATAACGTACATACATATGCAGATGTCCAGCCACATGGATCAACAAGGGCAAGAAACATCATTCAAGAAAACACAAACAGGACCAATGGCCTCATCTTGTTGCCCTCTCTGGCTGACCAGGATGAAAGCCTGTTAGTGGAAAATAGGTGCATACGTGTTTTCATATATATATATATATACATACACGCATACAAGATGCAGTTATTGGCCTTAGACCATCTCTGTAGTAGCTGCCCCTGGATTCCCCAGTCTCCCCATTGCTTCATGCACAGACACAAACACACACCAGTGGATCTCCCCAACAGCTGTTCCAGACTTATGACCTTACCAGTAGCCAAGCCCTAGATCTCAAATCTCTCCAGGAGCTGGTCTAGACCTCCCAGGATCTCCAGCACCCAATTTTCAGACCCTCTGGTCTCTCCAGCGTCCTGCCCAGACTTACGGTTGCTCCAATACCTGGAGCTAGTTCAGTTTGATGTCTTTAGCATTTCCATGCTGACATACGTACTCACCCACGCTGGACCCCGCTTGCTAGCCCTTAGACCTCGTGGCACTTGCATTTAGGATAGAGAGTGAAATTGCACTTAAAAAAAAGGAAAAAGCTAAGAAAAGGATTTAATAAGAAGACAGGGCACACTGGGGGTGATCAGGCACAGAACTCAGCCAGACAAAGCACGCTGACCACCATCCCACTTACGTGTGACCAGCCCCTATCATCCCTCCTCTCATTTTCCTATGTGTGTTCCTCACTGATCCATCCCGATCCTTTCCTTTCTCCAACTTCAACGCTTCCCCTAAACATCCCATAAGTCTTTCACAATCCCAAAATTCTCTTCCCAGCATGATGTCCATATCCCTGTAGTGAGCGAGGTGATGCAGGGAAAGCCACCTCCATTGACTTGTCTGGTGGGTCTCACATATGGACTTGGGTTGACCATCCTCCTTGGACAGCCCCGAAAGAGCCAGGTTAGGGGCGATACATTATTTGGGTTCCTCCACCTGTTTCTGCTCCTTTGTGTTTGTGGAAAATAACAGTTGTTAATCACACAAGCTAACAACCCCCATTTTATAATTAGGGGAGAGAGGCATGAAAATAAAAGGGGAAGCAGGAGCAAGGACTCTGCTGTTTGTGGTCCAGCAAGGATCAGCCACAAACTGGAGGGGAAAGACCAGTGCATATGCCGTTTCCCCAGAAGCACCAGCAGCTCTCTTTGAGAGTAAAAGGGGTTTTTTTTCTTTTTTTTTTTTTTTTTCCCTAGAAAAGGACCATGTAACCAGTTTGATCAGCTTCTCTGCTGAGAAAAGCCCCTAGAGAGGCCGCTCCCAAAGCCACGTAGCCAATTTGGAAGAGGAGGACAGGAGCCTAGGACTCTTCACACAAATTCGTCTTCGGTCCTCCAGAAAATCAATGGTTTCACGGCATTTTCAGTCCTCCAGAAAACCAGAAGCCTCTACAGATTTGTGGCATTTTCAAATGAGAAGGGACTAATCTGGTCACTTCTCTTGAATAATACTGGCAGAAATCTCCACAGACTCATGCTTTATGTCACTGCAGGATGCTGTCATGATTTTGTGGGCTGATTCAACTGACGGTTCAGAGACCAGCCACTCATCTCACGTCTTTTTTTCATATTTCGGGTTACTAAGTTCACCTGACGTAATATGAATTTTGCGACACATGTTCCTATTCTGACTATCTATATATCCACGAATGCACCTACTGAGATACAGAATGTGGAAGACCAAGAGAGGGTAGAATTACCAGAAATCCACTTTTATAGCCCAGAAGCTGACCCTTTTTTTTCCCCTGAGTGCTCACAGTGAAAGGAAAAGGGTATTGCCATGGAAATGGCAACAGATTTTGCAGGTACAGGGTTAAGTGGAAACTGTTATGTGCGATGAAGCAATGACATCATCACGCTAAATACTGGGTTATTAGCCCTCACCACCACTTTCCACTCACATCTGCTGTCTTCAGCATCTTATAACTTCAGAAGGGATTCCCTCTTTGACCTGAAATTTCCTACAACTGAACTTGGCTTGAGTTGAAGTTCGCTGAAAAGTTGATCAAAAAGAGGTCACCTAATATGAATCATTATACAGGAGGAAAATACTCATTATCTCAAAAAGCAGTTCACTCCCACATTGCAAGGGCTTGGAGCAGGGTTGGGGACTTAGAAATCAAGGAGAGATTTTTAATTTCACCAAGAACTCTTCTACATTTGAGTTACTATAAAGAAAACCACTGTTTGCACTGCAGGATTTGTTACATACTCAGGTTAAGGTTTTCATAACGCTGCAGGTTTTTGTAACATAAGACATGCCTGATTTCAGGTTGGGCTTGGATGCCACATCCTTCTAAGCTCCTCTGGACATTTCAGCTCCCACACCTCACATGAGCCACCTGTACCACCTCCAAGGAAACATGGAATTAAAACTCTGGAGCAGACAGAAACCAAAACTACTCAAATGCCTTTGAACCTAAAAAAACAGTGACCCGCATTTCACTGACTTTGCTACTAGGCAAAGCAAGCACCGTTTCTCAGCTGTGTCTCAGCAAATATTCGTAGCTGGTAGTCAGGATTCGACGACATGATCATTTTCTGCTTTGAATGAGGGTGCCCTGCCATGCGGGATGGAGTAAGGAGACCAGATATGGCTGTAATCGTAATAAATTAACAGGATTTATCTTGAAGCAATGTTACTCTAGCATCCTCTGCCCCACCACGCTGTCCCATGGATGGGGTCCATTTGACCCAGTATTGGTGCCTGCATCCCAGCAAGCCACCATGATTTCTGTTATGAGAACAGGCAGCATCTCAGCCAGCTCAGCTGAAGAGCATCAGAGGACCTTCCGTAGCCTGCAGCAGCAGAGGAGATAATGGGGCTGAAATCATAATCCCAGAAACTCCAGATGCCTGGGCCAA